AGTGTAATAAAACCCAAGGGATTTTCCGATTCTAATTGTGTGTATACGGGCTCAAGTCTTCCCCTATAAGCTCCGATTCTTTCCCCTTGTCAGATTTCCAATGAACGAAACGAAAGCAGATTTAGAAGTTTTGTTTTGTATTTATGCAACCAATGCCGCACATTCAATCACTTAGAAGATGATACCGTATGAAAATCAATCGATCGTGGTTGTAGGAATATCTTAATTATGAAAGGACATTGAAAAAAAATTCTATCAACATTTGTCTGAGACGTGATGTTAAAAAATTAATAGTTTTGCCATAGCTTTTGTCTACCGATTGCTCCTTAGGGCTGATTAGGAGTAACCTCTCCTGTTTCTGTGATCTCGAGGTGAGAAACCTTGGAAGCACAACATTATTTCCAATTTATCAATTTAAACCCGTAGAATTATTGGGTACACGTTAGAGTTGGAGAAACTAATCAGATACCAGTTAGATGTGGGTACCCATCATTGCTGTGTGGATTAGTTGGGTACCCATTGGGTCTAGGTGGATTATTTGGGTACCCATTGGGTCTGGGTGGATTAGTTGGGTACCCATTATTGCTGGGTGGATTAGTTGGGTACCCATTATTGCTGGGTGGATTAGTTGGGTACCAATTAGGGATGGGTGGATTAGTTGGGTACCCATTAGGGCAGGTGGATTAGTTGGGTACCTATTGGGGCTGGGTGGTTCGTTGGGTACCCATTAGGGCTGGGTGGATTAGTTGGGTACCCATTATTGCTGGGTGGAGTATTTGGGTACCCATTAGGGCTGGGTGGACTCATAGCCAACACCCGGGACTCAAACCAGTGACTTGCAAAATCAGTTCTCTAACTGCAGGCTAGGACTAGAAGAGGCTAAATATAGCCATGCCGGGGGAGGGGGTGGGGGGGGGGACTCCGAAACACGTCTAACCCCCACCCAGAAATAAAATAGAATTTATATACAAAATCCATATTTTAACCAGTGGTCCGCCCTCTGAAGTTTCAAGTGCCACACCCCTCTCTTCCCCCCCCCCCCCCCGAGAAAAATGTCTGAAAGAAACCATGCTCTAAATTATTGCGTGCTTTTGATCTACGAACCCTTCCAATTTTATTTACACCCCCATTGAACCAGCTTGCAGTAGATGTGGACTGCTTATTTGTAGAGCGCTAAATCAGACCGACCGATGGACGAATGTTCACGGCTATAAATCAAGACTTTGTGCCTGCTAGAGATCTCTGGCTAGAGATCTCAGAGGAGGTCACAGGTCAATAAATCACCATTATATCCACTACAGTATCTCACACTATCTTCTCCCCTGTACCCCATACTATAATCACCACTTGATACACTACTATATTAGGCACTATAGTCTAATAGTGCCATTGTATGATTGGGCGTAGGAAATCCAAGCACAAAGCGTGGGCCTTAAGTTGAGAAGAGCCAGATGCTGGCCATGTATCAGCCCCCCCCCCCCCCACCCCCCTCTCTCCACACAGCTGATGGACCCTAGAGACAGGGCTTGCCTATACAGCTTGGAATCAGCTAAATCGCAGGAGCTGACGAAAGGAAACGAGAGCTGGTAATCCTATCGCCTAAGGGGCTCCACTCCTGTTTGATATCGGTGTTTTACTGTCCTAAATGGTTTGCTGTCCCCAGTTAACAAGCCTCATCTGCCTGAGGGTTCGAACTTGGGTCTTGTTGGTAACAACCATGAGCCTGCACGCCCGACCACTGCAATAATATTTCCACCACTATAATCACTATATATCCAACACAACATCCACCTTTATATCCTATACCCACCACAATAACCGCAACTATAATTTAATCAGCACTATATCCACTATTATATCTATCACCATAGCCACCATTATATCCACCACTTTGTCGACTTTATATCCAATACTATATCCACAACTGTATCCATTATTATATCCACCACTATATCCAATACTATATCCACCATTATATCCACCACTATATCCAATACTATATCCACCATTATATCTACCACATATCCACCATTATATTCACCACCATATCCACAACTGTATCCACCATTATATCCACCACTATGCCCACCATTATATCCACAGCTATATCCAATACTATATCCGCCATTATATCCACCACTATATCCACCATTATATTCACCACCATATCCACAACTGTATCCACCATTATATCCACCACTATATCCACCATTATATCCACAGCTATATCCAATACCATATCCACCATTATATCCAACACTATCCAATACTGTATCCACCATTATATCCACCACTATATCCAATACTATCTCCACCATTATATCCACTACTATATCCAATACTATATCCACCATTATATCCACCATTATATCCAATACTAAAAAAAAAAGACAACCGACTCAATTAAAACAAATATTTCAGCCTGTCAGTAATAAAAATAGACCAGCGTTACCCGCCCTAGATTACATGTGAAGGTTAAAAAATGTAACAATCAAAAGTCCCAGCGTCAGCTGACAGACCGACATGCTTATGACGTCAGCGGTGCTTTGATTTTTATAGCGTATTGCGTCACTCATCACATTATCTTATGTCTTATGTCATTTTATTTATTCAGGTGACTTTTTTTTAAATTTTTAAGTGTTGCATTATGTTTTTTTTTTTTTTTTAAATTGTTAACCGCTTGGTCTAAAGACTCTCCAAGCCACTTTAGTCGTCCATAAATTACGTCACATCCGGCGCGGAAGAGAGAGCGGGGCGGGGCGGGGTGCTACGAATCATCAACAATTGCCTAATTTTAACATGTGAATAAACCTCACCTTTCATGTCCTCCATAACTAAGCATACGACTTATCTTTATTAATCTCATACCCGTTGAAGTCATATCATACGCTTTAAAACACACCTGTGGGCTGATGAAGACCTTTTGTCGAAACGTCAGTTGTAATTCTCCCATTTTCGCGAGACTATTGACAACCTTTTATTTTAAATGCACAGCAGGATTGTGAGCAGTGAATGCATTAGTCCTTCAATAATGAATTGAAAGTTTCATTTAATCTTCTGCAATTAAAGCTATCAATGTCAGTGTCCACCCGATCAATGAGAAATGGGGAAAATGCTAAGTTTTCGAATAATGGGACTGCGTGGTCGAATTGTAGATCATATGACTGCTAACCTGAAAGTCTTGAGTTGAAATCCGGGTTAAAGTCCCCGAGTCCACCCAGCTCTGATAGGTACCTGACTCACGTTAGGGTACGTAAATTCGGCTGGGCATAGTGCTGACCACACTATCTCTTCCTATGCCTAGGTTTCAGAAACAAGTGAACTCTACTTCACAAGACCAATGGACTGTCAAGCAAAAAATAGAACTTACTGTACTAGATCTATATAAAATCAAGCTTTCAACTTCAAAATATTTGCGGTGTTTCTGTATCTCAATGGGTGGCATAGAAACGTAGATAAAGTTATAAAAATACGGAGGTTTGTTGATTAGATACCCACTGGCTGGTGTTAGTTATCTCTAACAGCATTGATTCCTACAACTACAACACAGCTTGAATATCGCGTTCAGTAGCAAGGCTACTTGCATAGTGCTCTTAGACAATTTAAGGTTCTGAGTCCCTCTCTCAGATCGTGCCACTGATTCAATACATTTTCTGATCAATTTTCATCCCTGTTTATTTTTCTATTTTTGACAATAGCCGGAAAGACGAAAATATTAATACTAATTAAACTTGATGTTAATAATCAATCAGACTAAAAAAATGGGAGTTAATTAATTAAGGATAGCTATTGTTTTAACCCCGCTTCCGCTATGCACGTAAAAAAAAAGAGAGAGAGAGATCAGTTTAGTAACTAACAACGGATAGCTAATTGTGTTTACAGGAAACACCCAACTACAGACTATAAAAATAAAATCGTCTTCCTTTATACAGCTATCTCTCGTTTTATCATTCTGCTTTTTCATCTGTCTCCTTATCATAACTTTTTTTCTTCTCCCACGCAGCAAAAAAATTCGCAATGAGAAGGAGTAAAAGTGGCACGAGACAGAAATAAAATAATTGGATTAAGTAATTAGGTGAAATGCTGGCTGCCGTTAATTAAGATAATATAATTCGTTATCATAATGGATTTTTTTTCATAGAGTACATTTAACCGTAATATTAATGTATAGAGATTTTTTTCTCTTGAATATTTTTTTTTGAGGTAAGAATAAGGGTCACTAATTGAGAAAGTTTTTGGATTAGGACTTGGTTTATGGATAGGGTTTTGTTTTAAATAGCGATGATAGCTAAACTATAACTTCGTTAGGACTGTTAAAACGCTTTGAAGTACAAAATAATTAATGTGGTTAGTTCTCAACGTGAATATATTTGAGGGTGGGGGTGGAGGGATTATCTGTGAAAAACAAAACAGCAACGGTTCTTCTATTTTCATCGGGAACATCGATCAGTGGTTTCTAGAAAATTCCACCAGAATGAACCAATATATTGACACAACTCCCGACTGTTATCGTGAATATACCGACCACACCTCTGCTGTTCAGCTCATAACGTTTGATTTAATGACTGTAAAGATGTCTATCTTAACGTTCTTTTAAGTCCGTAGCTGATATTTTAATGATCTTCTGTTTACACAGATGGGGCAGAGAGAGGTGGTAGGGAGGGAACATTCTGACTGACACATGTGAAGAGGGTGGGTGTTGGGGGGGGGGGTATTGAGAGGGTTATTGTCTCAAAACTAGGTGATATCTATAATGTGCAGCACCCTGAAATAAAAATAAAATAAAATTAGGCATCTACTTCAAACTATTGATACAGTTCGATGCAAATAAACAATGATTTACATGGTCTTTTGATCTGTATCTGTATGCTTGTATTATCTTCTCCCCCCTTCCCCCAAAGACACAAAATTTGAAAATGTTATTTTTTATATATTGTTTAGTTACATTCACAACGATCGACTGTTTTGTTATATTTACAATCTTTTTTTCCCCTAATCAGGTGACAGATGCTGTAAAATTTTAAAATAAGTTGAACGATTTCATTCAGAACTAATCAATATCAATCAACTTTTGAACACTGACAACAGTAAGACAAAAGAAAGCCTTCATGAAACTCTACCGCCATCTGAGGATAGATTTCAGCAAAAAGTATTTACTAAATTCCGAAAGCTGACAACAAGACAGAAACAAAACTTTAAAATTTTAAAATCATCTGAGCATAGATTACAGCAAAATTTATTTACTAAATCCCGAAAATTGACAAGCATATAGAAAAAACACATTCATGAAACTCGACCGTCGTCGCAGCATAAGCTTCAGCAAAAAGTATTTACTTAATCCCGAAAATTGACAAGCATATAGAAAAAAAAACACATTCATGAAACTCCACCGTCGTCGCAGCATAAGCTTCAGCAAAAAGTATTTACTAAATCCCGAAAGCTGACAAGACACACCAAAAACCAGCGGATGAAATTCTACTCTCGTTTCAACATCACCTACAGCATGCAGACGAACAACTGCAGGTCTCTGGTGCTGTTGGTGGGGATGTCTCTACTGGTTGTGCTCTGCTTCGTCTTGCCGTCTGCTCGGGAGATCTACTTCCAGTACCCCTCGTGGCGTGACGTCAGCCTGTACCAGATCATCAAGATGCACCTGGCGCCCCGCCCCTCCCACATGAACAGGGTCGTCAGGTGCCCGAACCTCACTCAGGTGGAGGTCAAGAGGTCAGATCTGGAGCTGGAAAAAGTGAGTTCGTCTGCAGTATTTCCCGCCATTTTTATCATTTTCTGTACGCGGTCGTTTAACAGGCGTAATGTGCATAATGGGAGAGGGGGAGGTAGTAGTTCACATTTATGTGACTATGTGGTACGTTGGGGAGAATGTGCTCAGAAATGTTATGTAGTGTATACTTATTTTTAAAATAAGAACGTGTGTAGGGGTTGTAATTCTGGTTATTTAAGAGAACAATTACAGTTTCAGACTTTTTTTGGCGATTTATGTTAAAGAGAAGGATGGGGGGAAGGAGTGGGGGGGGGGGGGTAATCAGATAAACATGGACGAATGAAGCTTATAAACAAGCCTTCAGCCGTATAATAGATCTTTATTGGGTTATCAAAACTGCGTCAAATCATAAGCCTCTGTTGTTTTGTTCACAGATTAATTTCTACGAGGATACACGAGAAAAACTTAGACATCTCGCACCGGAAGAAGACTGGAAAGCGAGCTTTTACCCCGCATTAGAAAGAGAAGAGAAGGTATCTATAATAATAGTTTCGCTGTCTGTCTATCTATCTATCTATCTATCTGACAAGAACGCTCTAGAGAAAACACAAGGAAAATAAAAACATGCATAGTAATTCGAAAAACGAAGTATGACGTCGACACATTTAGCACAGAGTAGAAAATAATCTCACGCCGGAGAGTGCACACATATATATGACGTCATTGATTATCGAGTAAACATTCAATACAAAGGCAATTTGGTCTAATCTAAGTGGTTTGCGTGAAGAGTTTCTTTCATACAATTCTTCGGGTAGGGGCGAAGCCCCACCCCCGCGTAAGAACGTCTGAGCCCCCCCCCCTCCCCAACTCAAAAGAAATTTCCTCATCGATACTCTATAATAAAATTACCGCCTAATTAATGTGTCTAATCTAAAAAGTGGTTTTCTTGCAATTTCTTTAATGCAATTCTTCGCGTAGTGGCTATGCGCGACACCAGTGTTTCTTTCAGACTTTTTCCTCCACGGAGAGGGGTGAGGGTACTTGAAATTTTCGGGGGCGGGGGTAGAATTTTCGGGGAGGGGGCGGACACTGGAAAAAGTATATAATTATATTTCGTTGAATGGGACGGTAGACATGTTTTTTAGGGGGGTGGGGGGGGGGGGTGGGGTGTGTGTGGGGGGGTGGTTTTAATTTAGACTTTTTCCTCCCCGGAGAGGGGTGGGGGTACTTGAAATTTTCGGGGGCGGGGGTAGAATTTTCGGGGAGGGGGCGGACACTGGAAAAAGTATATAATTATATTTCGTTGAATGGGACGGTATACATGTTTTTTGGGGTGTGGGGGTGGGGGGGGGGTGTGGGGGTGTGTGTGTGTGGGTGGGGGTGGTGTGTGTGGGGGTGTGGGGTGGGTGGGGGGTGTGTGGGGTGGTGGTTTTAGTTTAGAGAAAAGAGACAGCACTATCAGCCTAGCGCCCGGTGTATCCTTCCTCAACGGGCCATTTATCTCGTTTTTAAATAATATAAGTATACTTAGTATTAAGTATTTGATGCTTGCTTTTACTCGGCATTAACATTTTGAGTACTATGGGATTTAAGCTTAAGGCTAAGTTATTCTTATTCTTAATGCACTTTACTCTTTGTGGAGCATGGGCCTCAACCATAACCTTCCATTTTGCCCGGTCTCCAGCTGTTGATTTCCCAAGACATCTCTGTTGTTTTCAGTTCTCCAAGAAGACTCCGCCTCCAGGTCTGTCGTGGGCGCCCTTTCTTCCGTTTTCCGTGGAGGTTCCACTCAAAAGCCTGGCATGTCACATTTGAGTGAACCTTTCACAGTGTGTGTCCCACCCAGCGTCACCTCCTCCTTCTTATATTTACTGTCACGAGCTCTTGCCTTTTCCTACTCGATAGTTTCATATGTTAGGCGATTTATCCTGCTGCCTCAGAATCTGAGACTTTAGTTGGTTAAGGTCTGTATCGTGTCTGAGTAGCTCTTGAAGACTCTCCATGTCTTCGCTGGTCCATATAACAAAGCCACGGTTAGGTTAGAGTGATGGATTGGATTAAGATAGGTTAAGATATCCTTGACAATGTTGCTAGTGCCACCTACCAATACAAAATATTCGATGAGTAAAATATATCATTTATCAATAATCCGTGAGTAGAAAGTTGTATGTTAATTAATATTCGGATAAAAGAGGAAGTTATGAATTAGGTGCAGAAAAGTGAATCACTTTTAGTCTGCACATTGTTGATCATAATTATATTGTTTTACCGCTGTCAATGACAACAATGCTACTGCGATACACACAGTTAAGATTAAGATGTGTAAGCTAGAGTCAGCAGTATAAAAATCTATTCATTATGGACTTCTTTAAAAAGAAACTAAAAGTACTTGCGCACAAAAATAGCGTCTAATGATAAATATAGCCCAGTCAAGGTACCGATGAGAAGTAGCACATTAAAGGGGTCAATAGATTCTATTGATTACATCGACGTATAGATCAATCAGTCATTACGTCAGAACTAGGTTAGGACAGTCAAGTAAAAAAAAAATATATAACGTGCCATCATTTGATGGTTGTTTACACTGACGCAAGGCTACATAGCAACCAGAAAGGGAACCAATCGATTAGTTGCATTTACGTACTGTGCACTAAACATACTTTAACATCTATAGGTTTACGTTAGGCTTTGGGGTTAGTTTAGTTCAAGGATTATATTTTAGAAGAATTGTATTCCACCATACTAAAAAGTAGCTTAGCGAGGGGGGGGGGGGGCATACGTCCCCGGGCGCCGAGCTTAGGGGGCGCCAAAATGGGTTGGAAAAATAAATTGAAAGGTTGAGGGGGGTGCAAATCGAAATCTCGAGGGGGGGGGGGGGTGCAAATCGAAAAGTTTGTCCCCGGGCGCCGGGAAGGGTCGCTACGCCTCTGATACTAACAATACGAATATGTGTGTATTACCAATTTGGAGTCGAGGGGGGGGGTAGTCTTATCATAAAGATAAAGGTTCAAGTGTTGGTGGACATTTAATAAAATTAATTCTTGCATGACTGGCTTATGCTATTACCACATTGGAACCCTGGGTGCCTGCGTTATAGTTCGACGAGATCGCGCGACGCCCCCCCCCCCCTCCAGCAAAAACTAAACTGTTCATCATAATTAAGAAAAATATATTAAATTCTCACAATTAAAATAATTTTTTTAACGTTAAATTAGGCTATGTGAAATTTAAGACTTGATTAACCTAGTCTGATCATTTCTAAATCACTGAACTAATAACATAATTAATTCCCCTTAATTGTGAACTAGAGTCAACTCCCCTGATGAACTACTATCACAGGGGGCGCGAGTGAACCATGAACCAAATTCAGTACAATTTCTCCATAGATTAAAAACGCTTCACGATTCTGCGTGCCATCTCTGCGCGAGGGCCATGCTAATCTTCTTTGTATCGTTCCAATTTTATTGTATAAAGAAGAAAAAAAATTCTCCATAGATTGACCTACTACACGTGTACGGCGTGTTCAAGCACGCGCTGGACTCGGCTGGACTCGAACACGTGCTCCTGCACGGGTCCGCCATGGGCGCGTGGAGACACCACGGCATCACCCCCTGGGACGACGACATTGACATCGGGGTCAACGTCCGGGACTGGCTGGAGATCAAGATGGCGCTGACGTGCGTGCAGGGCTACACGCTGGATACCAGCACCAACTCCAAGTGGTCTTTTTTTAAAAGGTGGTCATTTCGTTAGCATTTATTCACAGTGGTCTTTTTTAAGAGGTGGTCATTTTGTTAGCATTTATTCACAGAGGTCTTTTTTAAGAGGTGGTCATTTTGTTAGCATTTATTCACAGAGGTCTTTTTTTTAAAAGGTGGTCATTTTTTTGCATTTATTCACAGAGGTCTTTTTTTAAAAGGTGGTAATTTTTGTTAGCATTTACTCACAGTGGTCTTTTTTTAAGAGGTGGTCATTTTTTTTAAGCATTTATTCACAGAGGTCTTTTTTTAAGAGGTGGTCATTTTTTTTTTAGCATTTACTCTCAGTGGGTTTTTTTAAGAGGTGGTCATTTTTTTAGCATTTATTCACAGAGGTCTTTTTTTAAGAGGTGGTCATTTTTTAGCATTTATTCTCAGTGGTCTTTTTTTAAGAGGTGGTCATTTTTTAGCATTTATTCACAGAGGTCTTTTTAAGAGGTGGTCATTTTGTTAGCATTTACTCTAAGTGGTCTTTTTTTAAGAGGTGGTCATTTTCTTTTTTTTTTTTTTTCATTTATTCACAGAGGTCTTTTTTTTAAAGTTGGACATTTTTTAGCATTTACTCACAATGGTGTTTTTTTAAGAGGTGGTCATTTTGTTAGCATTTACTCACAGTAGTCTTTTTTTAAGTTGAAGGTTTTTTTTGTAACATCAATACAAGTGGTCTTTTTTTTTTAATTTGTTTTTTACTCATTGCAAATGGTATTTTTAAGAAGATTAAACATTTATTTATCATTAACACAATGAGGTCTTTTATTGAAGGTTGAATTTTTTTTTATAACATCGCCTCCGATTGGTTTTTAAAAAGGTTTAAAATTTTGTATAAAATCAATAAGTATGACGCCATTTATTTTATTATGGAAGATCCCTTCATTCAATTGGTCAGCACAGCTCAAAGGCGTTGCACCCTCCCCCCCCCCCCGGGACAAACTTTCAATCTTGCGCCCCCCCCCTATATTTTTTATATTTATAATGCAAAACTGCAGCTAAAATAAGCTTTTATTTTTTTTTCAACCCATTTTGGCACCCTCTAGGGTCGGCGCCCGGGGCATATATACACCCCCGCCCCTCCCCCTCGCTACGCCTCTGGCACAACTCTATAGAAAAATCTATTTTTTAGATTCCCCCCCCCCCTCCAAGTGCCTCCATTCTATTTTTCTAAGCGTATATTTCACTTTACTTCTTATATCAACATAATTCACTATAACGTCAAACAAAACGAACACGTAAAAAATTCCACGTACATGTTCGTACTGGTTGATTTACAAACTTTATCAACGGCACTTATCAACTTCGTGTAAAACCTCGAACCTATACAGTGTACACCGTGTCGTGTCGTATATCAAACAGGGAAAGCTTTATTTAAACGCACTGACTTATTTATCAGTAAGGTCTAAGTCGTCGATGCCAGAAGTCCATAAACCATCTAGTTTTTTTTCAGTTTGACTTTTTATTATCATCATCATCTTCATTTTTTCCCTTACGTGTTCGAGACATAAGAAGTAGAGTTAATCTACTTCAATGACCTCAGGGTGCATGGTGATAGTGTGGTCAGCGCTATGTCCAGCAGTCCATAGTTTTGACATAACATTTTCTTGATTATCGATGCCTTGCTATGATCTAGGCTATATAAATAACAAATGCTGAACGCTTCCTGTGTAATGTAAAATATAATTGAAGAGCTAAGACCTAGATCTAGATCTACCTAGTAAAAGTCCTAGTTACTTACTTACTAATACTTATTTTATTAACTTAAGTCTAAGTCCTATGTCCAGCAGCTTTAGTTTCTCTGACGTAAGTCAGGTACAAAACAAACCAAGCAGGGTAGGCTTAAAGACGTGCAACTTGACATCCGAACTATAGCCTTTTGGGTTTGCAGTCGTGATCGCTACCGTCCGACCATGCAATCCATTATTTGACTTTAAAAAAAAAACTATTTGTTTTCTTATTTTAGTGACGGAAAACTTATACCCGACAACACCGTGAAAAAGTGGCCATTCCTGGACATCTTTTTATACACTGAGGACAACAACTATGTATGGGGGTTGAACTACGTCCATCTTAGGAAGTTTGTGTTTCTAAAGAAGGATATGTTCCCTCTAAAATATGTGCCTTTTGAGTCGTTTATGGTGAGTAAATAAAGATAAGAGATTACGCTTTATTAATACTGTTATTATAAAGAGGAAAGGCACACTTAACAGTGTGACTTTTGAGTAATTTAGGGTGAGCAAATGGAAATAAGACCTATATACTAAGAGATAGTTTCCTATCTACCATGTCTACGTGTGTCTATAGTTTCCTATCTACCATGTCTACTTGTGTCCATAGTTTCCTATCTACCATGTCTACTTGTGTCTATAGTTTCCTATCTACCATGTCTACTTGTGTCTATAGTTTCCTATCTACCATGTCTACTTGTGTCTATAGTTTCCTATCTACCATGTCTACTTGTGTCTATAGTTTCCTATCTACCATGTCTACTTGTGTCTATAGTTTCCTATCTACCATGTCTACTTGTGTCCATAGTTTCCTATCTACCATGTCTACTTGTGTCTATAGTTTCCTATCTACCATGTCTACTTGTGTCTATAGTTTCCTATCTACCATGTCTACTTGTGTCTATAGTTTCCTATCTACCATGTCTACTTGTGTCTATAGTTTCCTATCTACCATGTCTACTTGTATCCATAGTTTCCTATCTACCATGTCTACTTGTGTCTATAGTTTCCTATCTACCATGTCTACCTGTGTCAATATTTCCCTACCTACCATGTCTACATGTGTCCATAGTTTCCTATCTACCATGTCTGCTTGTGTCCATAGTTTCCTATCTACCATGTCTACTTGTGCCCATAGTTTCCTATCTACCGTGTCTACTACCGTCCATAGTTTCCTATCTACCATGTCTACGTGTGTCCATAGTTTCCTATCTACCATGTCTACTTGTGTCCATAGTTTCCTATCTACCATGTCTACTTGTGTCCATAGTTTCCTATCTACCATGTCTACGTGTGTCCATGGTTTCCTATCTACCATGTCTACGTGTATCCATAGTTTTCTATCTACCATGCTAACCATGCCTGTGTCCACAGGTTCCTGTCCCCAGACACCTACGCACAGTTCTAGACCACCAGTACGTACACCCAGAGACCTGCGTCAGCCATTACACGAACCACAGGCTAGGGGGCGACAAGGAGGTCATCTCAGTACCGTGTACGGCACTAACAGATCTTTACGATATGTTCTTCCATACCTCCTGACACTGTGAAATATTTTACATTTTTTAAATGAATTATTTTTGTTAACATACAATGTAGATCTAGTAAGTTTTAATGTTTTCGGGTTCGTTTTAAATTTTATTTTAATTGCAACTATTAACGAACTACAACTCAGCATTTGTCTCCCACCAAAATGATATTAGAGTTACTCCCCCTATTGACATGAGCGCAGGGTTTCTTTAAATCATGATTTGAAAAGTTTTTGTTTTAAAATTTAAAATCTCGTGTTGAAGAAAATAATTTTCTAATGTCATATTACAAAGATGTCATTCTTTTGTTTTTAAAGTCGTATAAGGTATTGTAAAAGCCTTAGTTTGCTGATTGTGCAACATTTCAAAATATCGGGATCATCATATAACCATAATAAGATTAAGTTGTCTTTCTTGAACCACATTTTATACCAGTTGTGGGTGCGTTGAGCGGGTTCTAAAAGCGTTGTCTCAATGTGAATGTTAGTTTGATTACACCGCTGCATCAGTATTTGTACATAGTGTTTTAAATAAATCATATCAATAGGATTTTTTTATCAATAATTTAATAATTTAAAACTGAATACACTATTTCTTACAAAGAAGGCTAACAATTTTAGACTTTTGGTAATCTCCCATTTCTTACTAGCGCAGATTCTATCTAGAACATTTACAATGGTTCTCAGCCGTTTTGGAGCTACCGAACCCCACCAGTTTCATATACACATTCGCCAAACCGGAGTTTCTTCCAGGCATCTCTTCAGGGGGTGAAGTCCTCCCCACTTCCCCCCCCCCCTTTCCCACCCCCCACCAAAAAAGCAATAGAATTTAATCAGAGAATATATACTTTTACTGTTATTGCCTTCCCCCCCCCCCCTAAAAAATAGTCCCCCCCCCTGAAATATCAAGTGCCCCCCCCCCCCCCACCTGAAGAAAACATCTGAAACACTGCACCAAACCTTTCTTTATAGCAATAGTGGGTCTTGATTTCCGCTGAACCCCTAAGACTGAACCCTTGGGTGTCAGTCAAACCCCACTGATCTAGATCTAGCTACTTATCTAGATCTCAGTGCTGACATGTCTTGATATCTGATTATGTATAGTCCTAGCTAGCTAACCTTTGATATAAGTGTTATCACTGACCTAATTTTTGCTGTACGCATCACACTTGCCGTTGTTGCAGGTATAAACATTAATTTTAAAAATTGTATTTGATAATTGTTTTTAAAAAGATCAAGTTAAAGTTGTAAAAGATATTTTTAAATTACCTATAGCCTTGATCTAATTACTAATTAGTAATAATTAAATTGCATTTAGCCAGTGTTTCTTCCAGGCATCTCTTCAGGGGGGGGGGGGGCGCTCTGTCGTCCCCCCCCCCCCCCCCGAACGAACAAAATTTATATGGAAAATATATACTTTTACCAGTCCAGTGTCTGCCCCCCCCCCCCCCCCCCCACTGTTGAAAATAGAAGAAACACTGCATTTAGCTTTTTTTCCACAAAGTTCTTACTTGTTATTGTTAAGCTTGGCTTAAGTCTACTTAGTCTTTATTGAATTAAAACTTAATATTTTTTTAAAAATTTGAAACAGGTAACAAACCTGTGTGAGTTAATGATATAACTATTAACTAAGTTAATTAACTAAGAATGTACCTCGCTAGCTTGCATATTTAAATGTATGCATTATAAAGAAAATATGCTTTCACTAATCTTCAACTTGACACAATGCTTCAAACTATATCTATATTATTAGACTTATTTACTTTATCTGTTTAAATGTAAAAGTAGGCCTATGTTATTGTAATCATACAATGTGTTAACTTTACTCTTAACCCTCCATTGACCAAATGGCATTTAACTCCAATACAGTATAAATATCCTACATTATTTCTTGAACCACCCCCATCCTGTCCTATTGTGTACATCTTCATAAAAATCTAACCCACCAGTTGTTTGAGGGAATTAATTAATTCACTTCTAAACATTTTTATTAAATCCATTTATAAGAAACAAGTCATTTTATTATTAAATAATGTGCAAACTTATGTATTTCATTAGTTGCACCAATTGGTTGGCCAGTAAAGGGTTAATCACATACACAATCATTGTAGTATTTGACAATGTTACTATTTTAATGAACTATCACTTAACTTAATGCAATGCTCAGATTATGATGAACATTTGATTTAGTTATTTTTTCAGGGCTTTTGAAGTGCTCTTATTCAAGCGCTCAGTATTTTTTTAAAAATGTCTTAGTCTTAGAGCTGTAGAGAAAATTTTGAGCTAGTGTTCAATTGTTTATTTATGTCCTCTGAAAAAGTGTTTTAAAAATATGTGTCTGGTTATTTTTTTAAGGTTTAATTCAATTCATAGTTGATTTCAAATAATCGAATTTTTCTCCATCGACTAATAATTGAACTTGTTTTTGGACCAGCTGTTTTTACTTTCTCGTATATACGAAGTATAGAGAAAGTCTTGTAATCGTGCAAAAAAAAAAATCGAGATTTTTGCAAATCTCGACGTTTTACATCTCACTGATACGGAAAAACATAATTTTGCAATCTTGTCCGTATGTCTGTGTGTGTGTGTGTGTGTGTGTGTGTGTGTGTGTGTGTCCGTGTGTAAACACGATAACTTGAGTACCGTTACAGCTAGGTTGATGAAATTTCATATACAAGTATTTTATCAAAATCGTAGATCCCTATCAACTTTTGAGCGATTTCGGATAACCGGAAGTGGTACTTTTTCTACTTTGAATTTTTCAAAAGCCTATAACTTGAGTACTATTTCAGATAGATAAATGAAATTTGATATGTAAGTAAAAGATCTAATTCTCTACCTTCTGTCAAATTTTGAGAATTTTTCGTTGACCGGAAGTACTTATTTACGCTACTTCCGATTTCTCAAAAAACTAATGTAAATTCTAAAAGTACTAATAATATTGCGCACTATTATGCGCTTTTTTATTCGCGTTCACTTGGTGTGCAATTAATTTGTCTACGAGATTTTATTCTATTTTTAAAACTTTAAGTATTTAAAATGGATTAAAAATCATGTCTATAGCCCGAGTTCCCATCCCCTGTTATTTTATATAAGAATATTCGAGAAAGTTTAGGGGAGATCACTCCCGGTTTATTGACAATAAATAACAATAAAAACAATCTTTTCAATTTTTAGATTTAAATTTTAACTTACAGCCGACTGATGTATTAAAAATGTTTGTAAAAGATGGGAGGACAGAAAAATTACTATGACCATTACTAATGTTACAATTTTTTTTTTTTTCATTTTTTAAGTACTATGGCCATTGCTTATGTTACAGTTTTTTGTTTTTTCATTTTTTATCCAAAGTATTATTTCATAATTATGCTACATCTCTCATCCTTGTTTTAATCGATATTTGTTATCTAATGTTCTATACATCATTGTTAAAATGTAATTAAAATATTAATTAATAATATTTTTTTTAACTATTTAAAAAAAAAAAATGTGTATTCCTTAATTAAGTCTCAAAAAAGTTTTTAATGAATAATTTTCTTATAAACAAGAATTGTACAGTTGATGGTGAATGATAAAACTTAAACATTTATTTTAGAGTTTTGTAAAAGTTTTTTAAGCTATTTATTTCACATTTGATGTGAACTAATTCAATAACTCGGTGAATTTATTTTATTTGATTTAAATTTATTTTATATGTAAAAAAAAATTATTTTTAATCTAATTTAACTGATGATTTTTATTTAATTCAATTTTGTTTCTTTTAAGTTTTCCATGTTTTTGTTTTTTATAGTTTATGTCTCAACACTGCATCAATTATGATTTTTACAAATTTCTTAAACCTTCATGGTTCTTTATCATAATTCTGTTTGGGATAACTGCTTCCTCTACCAGGTTCTATAGAACATCTGAGCTTGTCTTAGCTCTGAAGCCAATCTGGCAATATTTAGAAGCTGGGCAATCAGCTTACCTGGGCATATTGCTGACCACATTGCCCTTTCAGGGGCGGAGTGGTCTAGCGGTAGACAGCTGGACTGCTAACCCGTAAGTCTCGAGTTTGAATCTGAGTTCAAGTTAGGAGAACGTCCCTGAGTCCACCCAACTCTGATGGGTACCTAACTCATGTTAGGGAAAGTAAAGGCGGCTGGGCATAGTGCTGACCACACTATCTCTTCATATGCCGAGTTCACAGAAGCAGGTGAACTCTTCTTCACTTGCTCCATGGGTCGTCAGGTTCAAAGAGGGAATTTTACTTAAAGCAGCTTACCATAAAATTTTAGTGCCATATGTACATCATTAAAGAATAAGTAGTTGTTAATACCAATGCTATGGATAGCAACAACATGCAAATTAAAACATGGCTTTTTTTTATAACTCCAAGTTCAAATTTAAAAAAAAAAACTAGAGCAGAAACTGTGTTGATGCATGGCTATGTTTCCTGCTTCATTATCTTTTACATAAAATAGAAAAATGTACAGTCTGTTCATTACCAACAAAATAATACAAATTAGTAAGAAGAAAAAAAAAAAAAGAAAATTATGTAATCATCACCAACAGTTTATTCTTTGAGAAAGCAAAAGAATAAAACTTTAAATAATCTGTTACACCCAGTGTTACATATGGTTGCAAAGAAAATTTGTACAGCCACCTAACATAAAAAAATTTCACAGGAAAGAAATTAAAGTCATCAAAAGGCGACTACAAGACATTTCTGCATTGTTTGTCATCTTACAGACTTCTTACTTTCTTGTTTTGAACTAAATTCTTTCTATACATTTTTTATATTCTAAACAAAAGTTTCTATTTAAAATAGTACACAAGGCTTATATATTTGTTCATTTTAAAATTGTCAAGTTTGTTCAATGTTAAGAGGCAGTTGAATAGAAATAGAATAAAAACAGATGATTTTAAACATACATAGAAATAGATATAAATCAATCTCAGTGGTTTAGTTTGTATAAAACAAAAAAATTCTCACGAGGGAAGCTATATTTATAAAGCAGTAAAATCTCACTGGGGTAAGAGTTACTTTTTCTGAGCAAATATAATTGAATAAAATATTAGACAAGATAATTTCAAAAAAAATATGTAGAGTATGTATTTTAATATGTAATGTGATATTATAACTGATAATAAAATATGTGCATCTCTAAATAAAGTAAGTATAAAATTATTTGTTCTTGGGGTCATCCATAAATGGCGTCACACTTTTTTGACGATTTTTATCTCCCCCCTCCCCTCCATCACACATTGTCACAAAAAGCTCTACCTCCCCCATTAAAATGACGTCACACCTCAGCCTACAACCCCCCTCAAAACTGCTGTTGAATTTCTTAAAATACTATATTTTTCCAAAATCTTGTCTGAACTCTGTCAACAGAGTATTTTAATCAATTCCTATTACAATTTATTTTTCGAAAACGCGAAATAACGGCTAAAATTTGTTTTCTAACATTGCTTTTTTATAATGCAAAAGTGTGACATCACACCATCCGAATCCCCCCCACCTTCATCACACACCATCACAAAATTCGCGGACCCCCCTCTTCCTAAGAGTGACATCATTCATGGACGACCCCCTTAAAGCAAAGTTGTTAACATACTTAAATATATACTTTACATTCTGCTTGATTTACAGCAAACAATAATAAAATAAGAATTTCGAAAAATAAAATCACTTCAGTTTACTAAATAACAATTACTGCTCTATGTGATGTTACACCTTGGTATTATTAATATCCAGATTTTTTAAAAAATATCCAGATCAGCTGAAAAACCTATACTTAAATCACCTATTTATTACCCAGAAGCATTAAGATTTTGTACAAGTATAAACAAGAACATTGAGCTCTTATCTACATTCACCCCTCCCCTAAACCCAAAAACATGACTATTTCCCTGGGTAGGGGTAGATTGATCATTTGCTTATATTGTGTAATGGTTTGTGAGTTGGTATAAGAAAATATTTAAACAGTTATTTAGATTATCTTTATAAAATAAAATTGTCTAATAAAATATAAGGAGCTGCAGGATATTTATACAAAGAGCTGCAAGCAGCTACACAGCCAGCCACCTGTTGGTGAGCATCAGCAAAATATTTGTAACTCTTTTAAAAGAAGATCCAACAAGGGAATTTATCAAATACTTGTGCTGTAACTTGCTAAACAACTACCATAAAAACATTCCAAACAGCTGGTATCATCTTTAGATAATACTTATGTTTTTATACTGTAAATTTATTACTATAATTTTTAAAATATAATACATTCTTATGAAAGCCCAAAATATAGAAACAAATATTTACAGATGTTTCCTCAAAGTCAGGAGATTCGGTAATAAAGCTACTAAATTTCTTACAACATATTCATACTTTTTAAAATTCTTGTACTTTTACAATATAATTTTGTCATCTTAAACATTGAAAAAATTGTAAAATTAATATAGTATAAATGTATAAAAAAATTACTTACATATAAAATGTATTGAGTAGTTTTGTGATAATCTCTAGAACAAAATTAATGCACAGTTTAAAAAAATACATCTTTTAAAAATATATCTTTAAAAACTTGAATTGACAACATAAAATACCTTTTGTACGTAATGTCAGCATGGGATTTTTAAAACATTTTAACACCTGTGTTGATAGAATAGCATCTCCTTGAATAAATGTCATTTTAGAAATAAAAACATTACAAAAATGTATTAATAAAAAAAAACAACTAAAGAGGATAATATATTAAACTAATGTCAGAATAGAAATAAAAACACATTTTAGTTTAATGCTAGGGTAGAATTGCAATTAATGATGGTATCCATTATAAAGATCAGATTGTTAGACTACAGTATAAAAAAGAATTAAATGTCAATATAACATGAATAAAAAGTATAATATTTTTTTCAAGTTTATGTATGTTATATTTATTTTGAAAACACCTTACATTCTTTCAAGGTACATCGTGATCTAATTTTTTTTTAAGTGAAAAAAATTAATATATAAAGATATTGTTGAACTTACTTATATTATAATTTGGTTTTTAATAGATGAGTTAAAAATATTTGTATCAAGATTTATACATCTTTATATATTAATTTCATGAAGTATGAAAATGAAGATTTTCTATACAATTAACTAACTTCTTATATATTATTATAATCATTATGAAACTGACAATTTGTTTTACAAAAAGTTTACTTTCTCTTACATTAATACTATTAATACACAACTTAACAATTTCTCTGTAAAATGAACTAGTTTCTCTTATATTAATACTATCACTATGAAACAAAAAACTTAAAATTACAGACATTTACAGACTATAAGTAAATTACACAGTGTAAAAAATAAATGCAGTGCAAGTCATCCATGACCAAATCACATTTAAATGCTACCAAATCACATTTAAATGCTACCAAATCACATTTAAATGCTACCAAATCACATTTAAATGCTACCAAATCACATTTAAATGCTACCAAATCACATTTAAATGCTATCAAATCACATTTAAATGCCATCTGGAGACATGACAATATCCCCGTGGGCTGGGATAAACAGAAGAACCCCTGTGGTTTTTACTGGCCGTAATATCATCTGGTTACTAAAATCAACTGCGAGGTACATCTTGAGGCCGAAATGAACAATCCATTTTTATCCCACCGCGTGTACCTATCCACATCCTCATCCTTGAAGTGAAAATCTGCTATGGTCTTCCCTCTGCAGCTATCTTTGTTCTGCGCATCATCAGCATTTGATCTGATCTCGGATAAATGACTATCATTTTCTTTACAGATGCATGTCCAGCTATCGTTTGACTCAGCGCCCTTAAGCCCAGGGCATGGGATGTTAAGTGTTGCGTCTTTCAAATAATCTTTGTCAGTATTTTCAGGCATGGCCTCGTCGCCAGGGATGAAGATAACGACTTTATTCTCCAAGCCTTGATAAGCGTAGATCCACACGACATTGATGAGCTCAGCGGGAGAGGCTGTCGTCAATTCTGAGCAGAGAAATTCTGTGTGGATCTTCAAGGGGTAGCCAGCTGTGTTCAACTCTTTCAACATGACGCTTTGCTTCAGATTTTTCATGTAAGATTTATATTCATCATCTGTGGTGTCCAAGTAGTGTGCCTCGTCAGGTCTGACAAAAAATATATAATGCACACATACATATACACATAAGATATATATATATATATATATATATATATATATATATATATATATATATATATATATATATATATATATATATATATATATATATATATATATATATATATATATGTGTGTGTGTGTGTGTGTATATATATATATATACACACATATATATATATATATATACATACATATATAGTTATATACACATACATACATATATACACATACACACACGGTTAAATTAATAAATGTGGGAAAGGCTCTTTCTGGGTGCAGAGGCCTGGTAAGGCGTGTTATTCGGCGGTGGTTCTAATTACATCGCGGGTTGGGGATGAGGGCAAGTTGCGCGGAAAGATGTTAAGGCTCATAATTAAAATTGATTCATGTTACAATTATGTATATTATTTCCTGATTCGCATTTGCGTGTTGCTTTGTATTTATTCTGTTCCTAAGTTGGTACATATAAAAAAAATTCACTGTGGCAAAGCACGGGTATGCAGCTATGTTTGCAAGTTCGTTTGTGTTTGAGTTAGTGTTCCTGTTTGCATTGTGTTTGTATGTTATGTGTTGCGTTGCCGTTTTCTTTTGTGCTTGGGTTTGTGTTGTATTTTTTTTTTTTTGCATATTTGATTTTGTGTTTGTTCTGTTCCGAAGTTGGTACATTTAAAAAAGATTCACCGTGGTGAAGCACGGGTATGCAGCTAGTAATAATATAAGCACAACTCACTTGTAGCAAGTCCTGGGCAAGTTGACTAGAAAAACAATATCAGAACACTTGAGAGAGCTTTTGGCAAGGTCTGGCTGTGTGTGACACATGCCAGGTTTTTCCACATTAAACTCATCCTGGAGAAGTTTGACCAGCTCCTTGCCACATTGGCTGCAAAATGAGGTTATAAATAAATAAAGTTGCCAATTTTTAACTTTTAACGTAGCTAGTTTTGTTTATCATTGGGACAAGGCAGTTAAGAGGTAGATCACATGATTGCTAACCTGAAAAGTCTCAAATTTGGGCTCATAGTCAAAGTGATGACAACCTTATAGGCAGTGATCAAAGAAAAAAACTACTTCTTTTGCCCTATGGACCATTATGTTTGTAAAGGCGTCAATTATTTTTCTAAAGATTTATGTGAAGTGAGTAAAGTTTCCCTTTCAGACATAACAATCCAGAAGGTAGATGAAGTAGAGTTCATATATTTTTTGAGCTTAGGGTATGAAGGGGTGGTGTGTTCAGCATTAAGCCCAGTCGCTTTTACTTTCCCCAATGTGAGTCAGGTACCCATTGTAACTGGGTGAACACAAGAGATGTCATACAGAGATCTGAACCTGAGATTTTCATGTTAGCAGCCCAGTGCTCTAGAACCAGACCACACTATCCCACATACAAATTATATACTGTAGGGCCAATTTATTAAAAAACGACACTTAAGTTTATCTTTACCGTGGAGAAGTTAAAGTAAAGTACCTGCAATCCAAAGGCGAAACATTCTGCTGCGAAGCATGCTGCAAATGTCTAACAGTTAACACAGTCGGGCCATCAGATGGGAGAACCTCTGAGGCACTGTCCTTACAGTAACACTCCACTCTTCTCTCATCCCAGTCTATCAGCTTTAAAACACGCTGTATTTTGGGTGGGCACCTAATGACCTGCTCAACACAAGTTCATATCTCTTAAGTTGGAGATTCACGAAAGACAATAAATAAAGAGTTTATACGTGGATTTAACGTTTGATTATAATGCAAAATAAGAAAAAACAATCTACTATCTCCCCAATTTTAATGCAACAAACTAAACATAATTTTGATGGAATACGAGGGGAAAACTTATTGCAAACAAGTTAAAAAAAACTAAACTATTTTTTTAAACATTTTACAAATAGGGCCTATATAAAAATATTTAGTTATAAACATAGTTTAATTTTTTTATATGAGAGTTGCAAATTAGCAAACAATGGTTGATTCATTTTATTTTCTTAATTTAAGGCCTAATAATATAACTCAATGTTCTACCAGAAAAGGCAAAAACAGAAAAAACACTAAAATAATGGTTAAATATTATGTGCTAGACTGAAGGACTAAAACTTTAAACATGACATATGAAGCACAGATACCTTATTGAGCAGCATCTCTTTGAATCCTTGCGGCTGTTTACCATACAACCCAGCGCACCACAAGCCACTGCCGTCAAAGCTGCGTAAGGTGTTGAAAACTTCCTCCCAGTAGGACTTGACGTAAGTCTCATCAACGATGAACAAGACGCGGCTGAAATCTTGCCCCTCGTGTGTAACTTGTTTATTTACAGACCGAACAAATTCATCTTTCTGGAACTTGTCGACATTCACTGGGATCTGGTACAGCCAACAAACAATATTTTGTTTCTAATACTTTTAAAGATACAAAACAAAAATGTTATGTATATTCTTCTTAAGGGGATGGTGTGGCCTAGTGGTAGAGAGCTAGACTGCTAACCCTTAAACTGCTAACTTACGTTAGGGAAACAAAAGCGGCTGTGCATAGTGCTGACCACACTATCCCTTCATATATAAATGCAGAGGTCAATGAATCAGATGAACTCTACTTCATCTGCCCCATGTGTCTTGGTCACAAACGGGATTAAGAAGAGATATTCTTCCTAGCAAGATCAGTTTAAACTTAGGTAGTATAACTTAAGGTGTGTTATGTGTGGGATGGCCTGGTTGTGTGGTAGGGCAATACACTACTAACCCAAAAGTCTCGAGTTCGGTTCTCTGACTCAAATCTACAAGGCATCCCTGAGTCGATTCTATCTCTGATAGGTAATTAATTCTAGTTAGGGAAAATAAAGGCAACTAACGACACCATCCCTTCTTATGCTGGGATCAATGAAAAGGGTGAACTGCCCTGTCTGAAAGGAGAACTGTACTTGTACTTTATGTATTTCAATTGACTTCGGTGAGGGGTTAAAGTATCAACAACACTCGCAGTGGAAATACTAGCTCTGCAAATAATTATTTTTAAATCACAAAAAATATTTTCAATAATCAAGTTGGTTTTTGCTTTAAGTCATATAACCCAACCCAGTGTTAACGTAATCAATGGTTATGTCTACCCAACACAGTTATCTTTGACTAACCAAGGGTTGCCACTATCTAACCATGGGTTACTACTAAGGATATACCCTACCTAACCAGACTAAACACAAGCTATCAAGGGATTACTACTTAGGGTAGACCCTAACTAACCATGGGTTAACGCTAACTAACCAGGGATTACAACTTAGGGTAGACCCTAACTAACCATGGGTTAATGCTAACTAACCAGGGGTTTGTATAAACTAACCTCCACACAATGATTCTGGAGCTTCTCCTTTTTCTGTGCATCAGTCACCTCTGTAATTAGCTTAACGATCTGTTTTCCAATCACTCTTCCAGCAGCACCACGATACATATTGACAATGACAACATAATTCTGACTACCATCCAAAATCCATCTGGGAAGATTTAACAATGGAATCAATTATAAAAATACTTCAGATTTTAATTAATGAACCTTGTTTTAGCTAGCACAATAAAATTTTATAAAGTAAGCATAAAATTTAATATCTATGCAGAATATCTGTATTAACTTTAAGTAAAAATTCATTGAATAGTGGATTAATGAGACATTACATATAATAATTATTATGGGAAGGCAGACAATCTAAATTATAACACACAATCTCTTCCTATGTCATGGTAAAAAAAAAATCTAATCAGCATCATATTACTTATAGACTGTTAGATCTGAAAGAGTATAGCTCTAGCAATTACTAATGAATAATGTTTAAGTTAATATAAAGGACTATGCACTTATTGCTGACAGGAAAGATGCGAAATGGAAAAATGCACACAAAGAAGTGCACAAGGGTATTTTTATTTTCTTAAATCGAGCATTTATACATTTTAACAAAGAGTGACTACATGTTCATTGTAGCATAATATGAAAAATAGAAGTGTATTAATATAATGTGTTTGTGTTAGGTAATTTTTCTGTTTGCAGTTTAGCAGGGTGGTTTATCAATTTGTTATTTTGTGTTATATGAGTTAGGCGGTGATATAGAACAATGTTCTTAAAACAATTGCAAATAATCTAGAACCATATCATCTACTATCCATATGAACTAACCCTAAAACCCCAGAAAAATGGTATTTCTTAGAACTGCCGTTTAAAATTGTATTTATTCTTATTTTTGCTAAAAAATTTTGCTATACAGAATGGTTAAGTGACACTATATGCTGATACTCTTTCTTTTTTCTTAATACAAAACAAGTCGAGAAAATTGTTTTGAAAGCAGGTGAAACAACAGTTTCTTTACAATACTGTGATTCGCAAAATTTATGTAAAAATCAATTTTGTAGAACCAATATTGTGGAGTGGGGTTCCAATTTATGTTGCCTATTACAAAGGGGGGTGGTCTACAGAAATGTTATATAATTTGTTTACTTAGGCTCAGGGGGGGGGGCAGGTAAAAAATTTAAAATTTTTTGTTTCCTCACTGGTCATCAAAAGAAAATTCTTGTTGAGATAACATGACATGAATGTTTACCTTCGAGCTTTCACAGCCAAGACTACAGTTTTTCCTGAACCAGGGGGTCCACACAGGTACCCTAGCTTTTCTGTAGCTAATGAGTAATCACTCTGCTCCCCGTTGAGGACAATGGCAGAAAACTGGTTGCCCACGTGAAGAACACTCTGTCCCTTACGCCTTCCCTCAACACGCAGTTTACGTAGCTTAGAATTAGGCGCCAACTCCACAACCGAGAAGAATCCAACATAGCTGACAGAAACAATCAAAACATATTAGATCGATGGCTTAAACAGTTTTAAAAATCCATATAAAATACCTAAACTACAGTGCAAAAAAAAAAAAATAAAAAAAAATTGGGACGGAGTGGTCTAGCGGTAGAGAGCTGGACTGCTAACCCGTAAGTCTCGAGTTCAAATCCGGGTTCTAGTCAGTAGACCGTCCCTGAGTCCACCCAACTCTGATGGGTACCTAACTCACGTTAGGGAAAGTAAAGGCGGCTGGGCATAGTGCTGACCACACTATCTCTTCATATGCCGAGGTCACAGAAACAAGTGAACTCTACTTCACTTGCCCCATAGACCATCAGGTTTGAAAGGGAAACTTTTTACATTGCAAAAATTAATAATTTAATTTGATAGACTTTTATATCTACGTTACATCATTAGATTAGGATTACAGTAGTTTTTTTCTTTTCAACTCACCACCCTATAATAGATTTCATATTGTCCAAGGCCTCTTCTCTAGCTTTTACATCTTGCAAAATTGTATTCTGAAAAAACACAGCTCATTTTAACAATTCATTCAAGTTAAAAAATGTATTTTTATAATGCAACAATTTAAACTGAATTCATAAACAAACATAAGTTTTGAAAAAGCCAAGGCTTAAATAAAATAATTTGACAACAATTAGTGTTTATACCAGGCAAACTGGAATACCTACCTCTGTGAAAACATTCAGGCTCCACCAGGTTTTGAACCTCTCCAAGTTTCCTCCTGAACTTTCATCAGGCATATCTTCCTTACACAGAAATTTATATTCTTTATGCTAATCAGAGAAAAGGTATAAAAAAAACTATGATTTATTCAAAATACATTCTCAACTACTTTGTTGCTATATATACCGTCATGTCAGTTACAGACAAAGTTTATTCCTTGGATCTATTCCTCCCCCCCCCTCTAGAATACATATTATAGTATACCGATACCTATCTCCTTCAAGTTCCCTTTCAAACCTGACGGTCTATAGGGCAAGTGAAGTAAAGTTAACTTGTTTCTGTGACCTCGTCATTTGAAGAGATAGTGTGGTCAACACTATGCCCGATCGCCTTTACTTGAGTAACGTAAGTTAGATACCCATCAGAGTTGGGTGGACTCAGGGACGGTCTAATGACTTGAACCCAGATTCAAACTCAAGACTTTTGGGATAGCAGTCCAGCTCTCTACTGCTAGACCACTCCTTATCCAGGCCCCTATCCACAACATACCCCTATCTGTATTTATATCTCTAACTGACCTGGGGGTAATAGATGTAATGGGGGGGGGTGTAATGTCCTCCTCCCATTTAGCGTAGCTGATTAAAGTTTTATAAACACTATATATTTATTTAGCATCTGCCTTGCAAATGAAATGGATGATCTTACAACAAGAGGCATCTAAACAAAAAGTAAACTCAATATCCCTTGCTGCACCCAGTTTCTGGTCAACTCACCTCACTCACAAATGGGTTGGTGCCCAAGACATCAGTGACAAGACTCCTATCCAGGTTTGGAAAAGCTATGACCTCTGTGAACTTGAAGCTCTTCAAGTCCAGATGGGAGAAGATGTAGTCAAAGATCTTCCTGTCCCGCTCCAGCTGATGCTCCGCCTTCTTTATGGTGCTCTGAATGGTTTCCTTTTTGACCTTATACTCTGCCAGGTTATCTCCAGTTGCCTTGACCTTGAGAAAAAATAATTTTATAAAGCAAAAAAATTTAAAATACCAAAAGTTTTACTAACAAAAAAACATTTAAAAAAAAAATTAAAAAAAAAAAATTTAAAATACAATAAATTAAAAAAACATTATTTTTTTAAAATACATTATTTTTTTTAAAATACATTATTTTTTTAAAAATACATAGATCTCAATTTAAAAAAAAAAGAATTTTAAAAACAAAACTACTTTTAAAAACAAAAACTGCTTTTTTAAAACAGAAACTATTTTTAAAAACAAAATGGATTCAATTACAACTCACATTGAGTGAGAAAAATAATATCAACTTTACTAGATGAAAAAATCTACCTTTTCAAAATGAAATGATTCGGATGAATGAATGATAATCATTTCAGCCCCTACGCTTTATAAATTTAATAACACCAAACTACCTCAATTAAAAATCGACATGATTCAAAATACAACATACCTCCACAAAAATGACATGATTCAAAAGGATGATAATTATATCAGCCTCTCCTCTCTGTACACCACAGCCCTGCGGCAGTTTAATATCAGCTTCTGCAAGATGGTCTTTCAACTCAGACAAGTAGTTGTCATACTGGTAAGAACTGATTATAAAAAATGGGCAGACTTTTTCATCTTTCTCTTTGGTCAGGTCTAGGCTTAGATGATAGACTGCATCACCGACCCGACTATGGGCTCGATCACTTCGTTTGTCTGTTTCTTCTGAATGGGCCTTCTGTACCTCTGGGGTTCTGTCCGCAGTATCCTGTTTAGACTTTATTACAAAGTTTATTGATAAATTATGGGATGAAGTGGTCGATTGGTGGAGCATACAACTGCTAACTTAAAAGTCTTGATTTCGAATCCAAGTTCAAGTTCGTAGAACATCCCTGAGTCCACCCAGCTCTGATGGGTACCTGACTGAAATTCTGGAAAGTAAATATGGCGGGGCATAGTGCTGACTACACTATCTTTTCACATGCCAAGGTCACCTGAACAGGTGAACTCTACTTTACTTGTCTTTAAAATAATGATGTACTGATCAAAAAGTTTTTTCATTAATCCAAGGTTTAAAAAAATAGACCAAATCTTGTTTGTCTGCTACTTATATCATTTTTTGAATACTCTAAAAACTTGAAAAACTACATACTTGAACTTTATTGAAATGCACGTAAGGTACTCGATACGTTTCTTTGCCGATGCTTGGATACAATTCTTCCACATGCTTTTTAAGGTAGTCCCTAAGCAAATAGTCAGAGATGGCTTGTGATGCAGGCTTGTCAGTGTTGTCACATTCTGAAGAGCTAATAATTAGCTCGTTCAAATTTATAAGCTGGTGAAAAAGGCATGTGATGACAAATTTGCCGACTTTTAATTTAAAAAATTTAAGCGTAGGTATAGAACTATACAGCTTTTTATTCTAATAAATATGTTAGCTCAATATTATAGGCCTAATACATTTTATAACTGATAATCATGTAAAAAAAAAATTCTGTAACAAAAAAAGTGTAATTGCAAAATAGCAAATAATAAAAACAACTCAGGTCTAAATGTGTTAAACAAAAATATTTTTACCATTGGATCGTTTTCAGTATCTATTTTTTTCTTTTTTCTTGTTTTTGACCTAAAAATATTAAAAGTTATTACCACCACAAATCCACACATGTAAACTGTCAAACAATACAAAGAAGGATTACTATATAATATTACATATGAAACTATAACAAAATCAATAACAAGGTAATATAAAATTTACTTAGTATTTTGAGCCATATCCAAGCTTTGCTGCCTTCATCTCTGAGGTGACAAGCTAAACGTAGCTGCGACTGTAAAGTATGTGAGGAAACAACACAGTAGATTGTAAGGACATCATCTGGAAATAAAAATTTTACTTATACCATAACAATTTAAAAGGTTGGCATTATAGTTTACTTAACTGTACTCACTATTTAAATATTTTTGTACAATGTAATGCATACAGCTATTTGAAATTTTAAAAATTTAAGTATAAAAAATATCTGCCAGCTTGTCATTCAATTTTACTTGATTTGCACTATAAATATATGTATTAAATTACAATCTATTTAACACAGAGAAACTGTTTCTCCTTAGAAATTATTTGTCTCTTTCTCAAAGGTATAAAATATAAAAGGGGAATTGATTTCATTTTAGGCCGATTCTAGTCGGAATAAGATACGCATGCGATACGCATGCGCAATGGAGAGAAACTACGACTTAGCGGCGATGTTTTCGATGGTACTGCGCATGCGTGTGTTTACAACCGCAGAACCCTAATACCAACCCTAATCCTATCCTTAACCCTATCCCTAATCCTATCCCTAACCCTAACCCTAGCCCTAGCCCTAATCCTAACCCTAGCCCTAACCCTAGCCCTAACCCTAACCCTATCCCTAATCCTACCCCTAACCCTTATTCTAGCCCTAACCCTAGCCATAGGTCACTGCGCATGCGCAGAACTATCTTTTGCCGAAAAATCTTATTCCGAGTAGACACTTCGTTCATTTTAATGTAACTTTCATAATCATTGCAATTACCAACTCACCCCACCCCACCACTTAAAAGCATAAGATGAGATTAATGTTTTTATAACCTCACTCCCACTCATTTTCAATTGTCATTCATTTTAATATCATTTTATGCCTTTAAGTTATAAAGTATAAAGCTTTTAAAACTGTATTTAATACTCTAGATTAAGATTAGCATTAGATCTAGATAGATTTTAGAATTTAGATCTAGATTTATTCTGTAGTGTATAGTTTATATATTATATACTATACTTTTACTATTATACTATTATCATTATCTATTCTATATCCCATAGATCTAGATCTATAATTTGAGTATAATCATACTATAATAATGCTATAGTATAGTGCAGCTATAGGCCATAGGCCTATCTATATCTAAATTAATTATAGTATTAAATAATATTACTATTAGGCCTAGGTACATAATAATATATTATATATGCATATGGCCTAGACGCCTAGAACTACACTAGATCTAGATTTTTTGTACAGATTAATTAAAATTAAAGGCTACGAAACTGCGAAGTCTTCGACATCCACATCCAACTCGCATCACTGTTTCATTTTTGAATAAAACAATATCACAGTTCAGTAGCTACGACGACACATTGCACCGTACTTATTATTACATACCCTAAGCAGCGGCTAAATAGAGAAACAACCGCTATCCATCCAGATAGACAATAAACTCAGCACAGGCTCACAGTATCGCGGCCAAGTTTTCTTCATCGTAACATTAGGCCTAACACACTGTCTTCTCCATCTTAGCAAAATGTACGCTGATTGGCTCGTTTGTTGTCACAGTAAACTGTTAATGAGTCATGATGCAGACGATAAGAACAGTGGCTCTCAAACTAGACGTCTAGATCTAATTTTAAAAAAAAATAAACATGTTGAAAACCTTTAGGTAGGCCCTAATCATAGTAAATTATTTAATATTAGAAAAAACAATAAAAATGAACAGTAGCACTAGCATCTAATGTGAATCAAAAATGAGGGGAGTGGGAGGAAAATGATGTATACTTGTACACAACAGTGGGTGATTAATTGAAAACATTCCATACCACCTTATAAAAAGGCCGTCTAAGTGTAAACAAATCGACCCACCTTCTAGCATCACAAAGCAAAGGCCACGTCTTTAAACCCACTGACCCAATTTTGAAAAACTCACACCCTCACTAAAACCACTATAGTGTTTACACATACAGAATGAACCCGAACTAACGTTGATTTTTTTTAATAAGGAGGGTACCATGTGTGTAGTTAAGTTTTAAAAAGTTGTTCTGATAATTAATATTATAATGAATAATGCCAACACTTAAGGACCAGACTACTATTAGTGCGGATGAGGCAGAGTTCGCCTGGTTTTGTGACTTATGCCTGATAATGTTGAACTTCATAGCAAATTAAATACAATATTCTATAAAATTAACTTATTGTGAATTTTTTTTTAACAGCACTGATTGCTAATGTTATAGCACACAGCCTTTCAGTGGCGTCGCAATGTCGGGTGTCTCCCGGGGCGGCACTTCGTGGTGTCACCCCCCCCCCTACTCCAAGAAACAAAGTATATATATATATATATATATATATATATATATATATATATATATATATATATATATATATATATATATATATATATATATATATAATACAGTTGGATTTAGCATTGTTTTATCTATAGTTGGCGCGTGTTTACGTCATGGTGTCACAATCGATTTGTACTATTCAACTGTAATGGAACTGGCAAAAAAGCATTTTTCTTCTGAACATTTTGCAATTTTTTGCCTTGATGTCACCCCCCTAAATGGTGTCACCCGGTGCGACCCGCACCCCACCCCGCCCTAGCTACGCCTCTGCAGCCTATTAATATAATATATAATTTAGAGGAAGCGGAGAGGAATTGGAAAAGATGTTAACAGTTATGGAATAAGATGGGTTATTTGGAAATTATACACGTTTTTTTTTTTAAATTGCACTATTACTTATAGTGACTTACAGAAAAAGAATGCAATAATCAGATAAGGTTGTTATGAACAGAAAAAAAAATTAAACAGAAAAACGGTGCTATAAATATGGGAATCAGAGTTTCATCCAGGCATCTCTTAGAAAAAATTCTACCGCCCCCCCCCCCCCGAACAAAATGAAATTTATATAATTTATATAGAAAATATATACTTTTAACAGTGCCCCCCCCCCCCCCCCCGAAGAAAGTGCCCCCCCCCCCCCGGAGAAAAAAGTCTGGAAGAAACACTGATGGGAATATTCCTATGGGCAGAACAGGAGGTCGTTTAAACAGAAGAAAAAAAAAAGTTCTATTGACAAAAAAAGTCCTTTGAGCTTGGTAGACGATGAAAGAAACGGGACAGCGTGACCTAGCGGTAGAGAGCTAGCCCGAAAGTCTCGAGTTCGAATCCGGGTTCGTCAGTAGAACGTCACTGAGTCCACTCAGCTCTGATGGGTACCTAACTCGTGTTAGGGAAAACAAAAGCGGCAGGGCATAGTGCTGAGCACACTATCCTTTCATATGCCGAGGTATCTGAAACAGATGTACTCTACTTCATCTGCCCCATGTGTCTTAGGCACGAACGTGAAAAGATGAAAAAGAAAATACTGGTGTAAACAGAAACTGATACTATAAACAGAGTATACAGGATTTTATGTCAAGGATGTTGTTTTATGTGCATGTGACTTTTTATTTCTTCGGAAAACTGTATTCCAATTTTGTTGGTCAGATTGTACAGCAATCTTTTACAAAGATCCGGTTCATTACGATAAATAGACCGTACCTAAAACTTCCTGATTCCCAAAAAAAAAATAAAAATAAAAAAAAATAAAATAAAAAAAAAAAATTAAAAAAAAAAAAAAAATTAAAAAAAAAAAAAGCTCCAGGACAATTTGTGTATGTGCGTGCGTGCGTTTATTTGTGGGTATGTATGAATGCGTGCGTGTTATAGGGCGCACATCCCCACATGTCGGCCTCTTACGTAGGCCTGCTAGTTTGACTGCCTAATTTCAACGTGTAGTGCCTACTGCGTATAGTGAAACTAGTAGTGAAACTATAGTAGGAATTGTTGACTACTCCATAGTTGAGATAGTTAAAAAAATGTACTCAATGTTATAGGTTAGGCCAACTGGCCAGACAGGACACCGATTAAACGGTGGACTTTATCAGGACGTGATTAGGGTGTTATCACTCGGGAAATCCCTGTCTCCGGTGATAGCCTGCCCCAATTGTGTCGGTGTAAACAACGAGGTGTGTGTTGGTTGCCATGGCAGCGAGTAGACAACATCCCGCTTTGCGTTGTCACGGTTACGCGTGTTGGGGTTGTTGTAGTAACGTGTAAACAACAACCTAATGATGTTTTTGAGTTTTCTGTTGAAGGTTCATTTCGCTACATCATTCCATATGGCCTACGCTGTTCAGAGGCGTAGCGAGGGGGGGGGGGTACATTTGTACCCGGGCGCCGACCCTAGTGGGTGTCAATATGGGTTGAAAAAAAAAAGTAAAAGCTCATTTTAGCTGCCGTTTTGCATTATAAATATAAAAAAATATATGGGGGGGGGGGGGGGGGCTAATTGAAAGTTTGTCCACGGGAGGGGGGGGGGGGCAAATTGAAAGTTTGTCCCCGGGCACCGAGAAGGGTCGCTACGCCTCTCACGCTGTTCGCTTGGCAGTAATCTGTTATGATACAGCGATTATGTTACGATTACACGTTCTACCGATCTTGAGGTGGTTCAGAATGCACCGTGTATGTTTACAACTACACACACGCAACATCTTGTAGTCGAAAAATGCATAAGACAATAAACAGACCCGCTCGAATCAATATCTAGAGGATTAAAAAAAAATCACGTGGCCTTTTGTGTAGCTAATAATAGCAAAAACCTCAAAACAAAGTATTAAGAGGCAGGATAACAATTGTTACCGGAGTTTTTTAAAATATATTTTTCAGATATATTACTCCAATAATTTAATAGCTATATATTATCATTTTTTTTTTATATTATTGAAAATATTTTGTTGTTTTATTGTAACCGTCCTGTTAATCCGACGACGAAAAAATGATTATGATTAATGCTTCAAAGATCTATATAGTTTGACAATATCATAACCCTAGCAGTAAGCCTAGATTTGAGAAAACAACCTCCGTTTATCGACACCGCATTCATAGCCCTAAACACCAGAAGCGACATTTTTAATAAGCCAAAGTATTGTAAGCGTCCCACGCGACATTAAGCCCCACATACTCAAACACCAGACGCAGCATTGATTTTTACTTTTACTGCAACCAACTGCCGCCTAAATATTAAACAGAAGTTCAGACTTCTAACTAGGCCTGCTACATATGCCTCACAAATCCCTGCTTATGAACTGACTACTGCGTACGTGTACACACACACAACCGCCTCGACGATAATTCATTAGTGAATGCGTACTGGTCATTAATTTATCCTGACCTAATGTCGCCATGGATGAAATGGGTTTGGGGAAGGGGACTCTGTTTCTAAAATAAGTTGATAAGATGCTTATTGCAAGTTATTGCGCCGAGTTTGAAAACAGACGGAGGAGGGTGAGAAGAAGAGAAGGGACGGTAAAACGGTACATGATTGAGTATATCAAATATAGGGGTCATCCATAAATGAAGTCACACTCGTAGGGGGGAGTCCGTAATTTTGTGAAGATGTGTGATGAGGGGGAAGGGTTCAGATGCTGCGACGTCACATTTTTGCATTATAAAAAAGCAATGTAAGAAAACCAATTGTAATAGTTTAGACAAGATTTTGGAAAAATATCGATGTTTGAAAAAAATTCAACTGCAATTTTGAGGGGGTTGTAGGTTGAGGTGTGACGTCATTTTAGGAGGGGGGGGGGGTCTGGCTTTTTGTGAGGACGTGTGACGGAGGAGAGGTGGGGGGGGGGGAGGTAAAATCGTAAAAAAAAAAAGCGTGACGTCATTTATGGATGACCCCATAGTACATGTTGATCGATTTAAAAAATAGATCATATAAATATTATGGAAAACACACTGGCGTTATCTGTGGGACCCATAACACAAGTCTGTAAAAACATCTTGAAGTGGATGGTTGACGCTGGGATTCGGACCAACAGCAGTTCAACTACCAACTTATGGGGTGGGAGGGGGGATTCTTCATTCTGCATCTTTTTACCTGTATATACAAAGGACGCACGATTTTGCAATATCCTTTATACATAAACATAGGCCTTGAGAAAAAAGCCTCCACCTTCCAAATATTCCAAAGTTTTAGAGTATCATTTTAGTTTTAGTGAGGTCAGTGGAGAGTTGTGTTGTTTAGAGAAAAAAAAACCCACAATATATCACCATTTTATTAATTCTCGTAGGCTCATATGATAATCCCTAGAACTGAGTAGAAATGAGCTGTTTACCTAAAGTTGGACATAGGAAAAGATAGCTGACATTCAA